CTTGCATCCGTCCGACTCGCGCCCTACCCCGGCCCTGACCCTGCCCTCTTGCCCTGCAGCCTGTTCCGCGCGCCCGACCAGAGCAACAACTTCCGGACCATGTACGCGCCGACGCACATCCGCGCCGCGCCCTACATGGTGGGGCTGTTTGCGGGTTACCTGTTCCAGCGCCTGGCGCTCCGGCACAAGGAGCGCTTCACCCAGGTGAGCCACCCCAAACCCCACACGGCCTCGCCGCCAGCCGCCGGCTCAGCACCCTGCACCACCCAACTAAACGACTGTTTCTTACCAGGGCGTCACCTGGCTGCTGTGTCTGGGTGGCGTGGCGCTCACCACCGCGTCGCTCCTATCCTCCGTCGTGTTCTACGACCCGGACATGCGCTACGACGGCGTGGTCTCCGGGCTGTACGCCGCGCTGTGCCCCGTCGTCTGGTCCGCGGGCGTGTGCCTCGTGTTCGCAAGCCTCGTCCTGGGGAGTAGGAGTAAGTCACTGGAAGCATACACACCAGGTGGCTGATTAAGGGGTCATCCAGAAAGTACGTCCTTTATTCGCCGGTGCAAGCCTACAAAGTTCAGTCGTCCATGCAAGCTCTCAAAGCGCCTGGTAGGTAGACAACATCTTGCCTGCAGTGCATGTGTACACTGCGGGGTGGCCTACCTTGAGTCTTGCAGGCGTCGAGCTGCCGTAATCTGCCAAATGAATCCGAGAAAAACGGACATTCTTTCTGCACAATCCCTAATCCGGTTCACTTTTCTAGTTACACTGCAGGCGTGTGGGCGGGTTGCCCATTTGGTCGTGGTCAGCGACGATGGGCAAATCCGCCCACACGAGGTACAATGTAACTACAAAAGTGCGCATGGTTTATCAGCCACCTGGTACATAGTGCTCAACATCTGGAGCATGGGCTGTGAGGTTTTACATATTTTAGATTTTGTATGAAAGTAACAACTTTTCTATTCCTAGCAATTATGTCTGCCATACTGTCTTGGAAGCCCCTTGTCGTGCTGAGTCGCCTCACTTACAATGTTTACCTCACGCACTGGGCCTTCCAAGTTGCCTCTGTGGCCAAGGCCCGGGCACCGTACCATCTCGACCCGTACAATCTGGTAAGACTTGCTCCTGAAACCTCTCCAATTCTAAACGTATTTGAAACTGTGTACGATGGAAAAACATTTTATTGTGAAGGAAAAACGCGGTCTCCTTTCGTAGTTATGCAGTAACGCATGCCGGGGTGCGTATGGGTTGCGCATGGGGTCCTTTGGGGTCAGTGTCAGTAAAGCCCCTACTTACGCCTGTACGTAACTGAAAACAAAGGACTTCATGAACCACCTATATTTAGCAACAGACTAAAACAACGAGATTTCTAAGGCCAAGATTATAGTAATTATTTCATGATAACAATTCATATGCTTTAAAATGTTGCAGTTTTACCTATCATTTGGAGACATGATGGCCAGTCTCCTGATCTCTTTGATATTGTTCCTCCTTGTTGAAGCACCATTCAGATCACTAGCCCGAAAAATTACTGAGGCACCGCCAGAAAGGTAAAACTAAAAATTACAGTGGCTGTCTTAGCTGTCTGCTCAGGCTCAAAAGCTAAAAGAAATGTTTGAATCCACAGCAAAGTCCACCTTCAATCAGCTGAAGAGAAAGAGAAGTCTTCGGCACTAGAAGCTGGCTTCACAGGTGCAATACGGAAGCACAACTAGCACCTAACTTAAAATGTAGATAAATTTACTGAGTACCTGCTTCAACAGACATTTTTTTTTTTTCAATTGAGAAAATGTTTCACTCTAATTAATATCTAGCATTAAAGAATACAAAGTCTCAATTTACCTAATTTATATTAATTAACCATAGGAGCACATAATAAAAAAGGAAAGACAGGTGGGGCAAAAACCAATGCTAATGCTTGATTTCATTGCATTTATTAAATTATTTGTTCCACAGATTTGACTGGTGATTGTGACTGATCTCCTTTTGTATACATGCATGAAGGTTAACCATTTACATGAAATTGAGATGGCCTCTTGCCAAAGTCCTGGCAATTACAAAGGAAACAAGGAGAAGAGACACCACAATAACACATTACACCAAAATAGTTATCATGTTTATAATATGGTTAGCTTTATGTACATGATAAATTTTAGTACATTTACACAGTAAAATTTCAAATTCTACTTTCATATAATTACTTAACCTAACCACTATCATAATTTAACTTACGCAAGTTAAAAGTCCTTTCAACATGAAGTAAAATAGAACAAAAACCATCAAAGGCCAAATATACACAACACAGCATGCTGAGTTTTAGACTGTACACAACAGATATTGCCAACATACAACATATTACTCTGACAGAATAAAAATAAAATAGTGAAAATGAAAACAATTTATCCCCTGTCCCCCATAGATATTTCATTTTTAATTTGTGTGATCACATTACGTATGCATTAAGGGTGGGTGGCTGGTGAGGATGGAAAGCACCAAACATGACCCAAGAGAGAATCACACCATCTGTCCAAATTTATAGTAATACCTAGCTACAAAAATACATTGGTATACTTCCAGATTTTATTTTTTTTGTAAATAAAAAAATAGAAATCAAGTAAGAAGAGGCTTGAGCCTCTGCCTGAATTTTTAAGGCAGAGAGATTGTTTTCTTTGTACAGAGATGGAATATTTGAACAGTAGAACATTAGTTCCTAATAAATAGCTCAAAGAATCATCTCTGAAGCAACAACTTCATAGCTAATACTCACTACTTTGTACATAAAGACAAAAAATAATAAAAAGAGAATGATTCAACAGTGTCACCACATGTACATCATATGGCCCCGATGCAGCTCCAGAGGAGAGGAATGCGTGTAGATTTAAATTTCACATAAATTTAGCCAACAAAGGTGTTACAATATTGGCTGTTTTCAAGAAAACTAGTTTCAATGTTTTACCAAAATGTTTCATTCCTGCACGGAGCAACAATCAAACACACAATAAAACAAAGACTTCTGCGAAAGTCTAACTATAAAACTAAGGAAACATAATTCACAACAATTATCCCATGGTGGGCAACTTTAAGTTTGCTCACACCCCAACCAAGCATGCATGCGCGCACCCAGCACCTCCCATCCAAATGCATACACAAGAGCATCAAGTACATGTATTAAACAAAGTTTCACAGCAGACATGAATAGGTATCACATTTAATTGATTATTTTACAATAAGCAGGCCCATTACAGCTATGAAAATCAGTGCTGCTTGCTACTCTAAGACAGTATGTTGTGCACAGTGGGTAGCACATCTTTGGGAAAGATTTTTGCATTGTAAAACCAAAACATTTACATGCAAGAAAATTGAGCTTTTAACACACACTACAGTAGAAAGAAAAGCATCAACATCACTGTTCATTCAACAACTCCGTACAAAATCTATGAAAGGAATGTACTATACAGATCTCATGCAAAACAGAATGTCAGCACAAAATGCAAAACGAACATAATGGTAGAATACAATCATCCAAGTGGATCCTACATGATCAGAACCATGCAGGGAAACAGACCACACTTTTACTAGGACTTCCCAGATATGGCAGGAGGGTTGGTGCATACTTTCTGGTTTCCCAGTTCACAAGTGGCATAAGTAGATCCATTTGGCACAGCCTCTTTGGAAATGGCTTGAGGTATCCAACATTTCATAAATCTCTTCAACCCAATGAAAATAAAATTTAATTTTCACTTACTTCTACCGAAAAATTTGTTGTTACTGAAACTAATGTTACTGAAACTATTTTTTGCAGTTTTTAGAAAAACTATATTTGATATAATATTACTGAAGTCATTGGGTGGATAAGATGCCTTTCCACCCTATAGATTGTATTGTCTTCAATTCAAAACATTAACTTCAAAGCAATTCAACTTATATATATTGCAATAGCAAAAATATACATAATACATGTTGTAAAACATAAACTGCTGTGAGGACTAGTACGGACATATCGCTGTTTCTACAAACTGGGTAGGCCTTCTTATAGGAAATGTCCAGTGTGTCTACTAGCTTTAAAATTTTAAACATTGGATTGCGAATAAAACAAAACAAACAGACACAGTTAAGAACTCATTTCTTTCCTTTTCTTTGTAGGATTAGCAAGATGAAATTCAACATCATGTAATCAATAAGATATTTACATAATGGCTAAGTTCTATCAATTTGATGGCTTCATAAGTCTTAGAATAAGATTTTTAAGTAGGCACACTGGACATAAGTACAAGAAAGACTTCCATTAAAATTACTGCACACTTTTAAAAAAATTAGAGTAGGGACAAATATCAAATAAAATGAGATGCACACATGATGAGGATGCATTTTGAAAGATGTGCTATTACACACAAGAACAACAAAGATCTACATGCATCATAAGGTTCAGCCTCATGACAATGTGCATGTTGCCTGCAACAGCACAAGAGGTTTTTGGGATGGCACATTACAGAAGGCATGTCCAAGCCCTACCCTCAGCAAACTCACAATCTTCACCAGCATAGTAATGAGGTGCAAACCCACCTTACTTTTCCGACAACTCCACCAACTATATTTTCAAAAGACAATGTCTCACCAGTGTGGTAGACAGAATTAATGATGTTTGCAGACATCAAAATAACTGTTAACACGATACTACTCTTTCTTAACTAGGGAGTAAACAAACAATACCTGTACTTGATATAACAGGACTTTATAACGATTCAGAAACATTACTACTACAGTCGCAGGGGAAAAGGCAGTACATTACATTAACAAACAGGAGCTTAAAAACATGACGCTACAGGGTAGGCTTCTTAACTGCTCTACTAACACTTGTTAACATCTGGTGGAGTTGGAAGGTACTCATCCGCTCTCTTGTGATCATTGAGGGCACGAACAGTATATGAGTCATGTGGCAGTTCGGATTTTCGTCGCAGAAGGGGTTTCACTTGGCGAGGTTTATTTGTTATCTGTAAAAGAAATTTTAAATTACAAGATAATATTCTTACCAAATGAGTTTCTAGTACCAAGTACCAAACACTAACAGACATTAGGAAAAAAAGTGATAAATGTTTGGACCTGAGAAAATTTATATGAATGGAATGTTGCTTCTCTTGCTTCTGCATCCACCTTTGCATAACTTAAATCAATATCATTGTCACCATCTGCACCTGGTGATATCATGTCTCCACCAATACTATTGACATTACTTGATAATGCAGGAGCATAACCTCTTATGTAAACTTGATTTCGTTTTGCTTGTGACTCAACTTTTAACCATGCATCTTCTCTTACTTTCAGTCGTTCTTTCTCCCTGGAAATAAGTAAAACGTAAGTACCGTCCTTAGTATTAGATATTTAATAAACAGCAACATTCAGTTGCAGGTAACAGTTGACAAAGTGAGAAAATATTTATACCTCTGACGCTCCTGCTTATACTGCTGAGTGCATTCATCAACTAACTTCTGATTCATTTCCATAAATAACTTCAAGGCATTATAAATAAGCCCATGAATGGTTCTGTAAAGGCAATAGATAAAGGTAAACACGTGATCTTTTATAGTAAAGATTTCGGAAGTCTGGCTTTAAAGGGCAGAAACATGAGAGACTAACTTGTTCCAGTGAGACTTGGAATTACGGTACAAGGCTGGAAACATTATTGGGAGAATTTCTGCTGCATTGTCACTAACAAGAGACATGATATACTCATTGTTCCAATAGTAAAGGGCTCGTTCAGCAACCTGTTAAAAGAAAAATATCACAGAATTTTCTAAATTCTCTACTCTAAGATAGAAAAAGTGTTTTTATTCCCTTTCATTTTTTCTATGAATGCACATACCTGAAAATGAGGGCTTGAAACACACTTAGCCAGCTGTCTAAACAATGGATCCATGATTGTTTGAAACTCAACAGGTTCAATCACATCCAAAATTTCCTCCAGCTCGTTTAAAAACATAACCTGCAGGAAAAGAAAGAAGAGTTTATTAACAAAATTTATACACATGTGGATTTTTATTAAAAATGAGAGAAATGCAGTACTATACCTCTTTAGGAGCATGTGTCTTGGGCCAAAATTTAAGGAGAGATTTGATGACTGGTTCCGTCAGGCTTGCATCTTTCTCTAAAAATTGAACTATGCAGTAAGCCAACTGGGCATGATAAGCAGACAATTGTTTTGCCTTGTGCAGGGGCAAAAGGACTTTCAGTAAGAAAACTTTGTGTTCTTCTTTCAGAGGGAGTGCAAATCC